AAAATAAGGCTCCTTAAATGTTATGTGTACTCAGTGCTTCTGTACGGAGTAGAAACGTGGACATTAAAGGCGGAATTCTATCAAAACTTCAGGCTTTTGAGCTATGGTCATACAGAAGGATCTTGAAGATAATATGGACAGACAAAGTCACCAATGAAGAAGTACTGCTGAGAATGAACACAACTGCGGATTTGGTCAACATCGTGAAGTGCCGTAAGCTGCAGTACTTGGGCCATATAATGAGAAATCAAGGCAGATACGAGCTACTTCAATGTATTTTACAAGGGGTAAAATTGAAAGAAAACGGCCCCAGGACGAAGAAGAATATCCTGGCTTGCTAACCTGAGAGCATGGTATAGAAATACCTTAACACAGCTATTTCGTATAGCAACCAACAAAGTCATCATAGCCAGAATGATCGCCAACGTTCGGAACGGACAGGCAAATGATCGCAAACGTTCGGAACGGACAGGCACCCTAAGAAGAAGTGGGACAGTGTTTTGGTTCAATTTCGATCCATTTCTCATTAATAAAAAAATTTTGCTTTCATGACAAACTAAAGATTATAAATAAATAAAATTATAAGTTTTATGGATTAGCTAATTGTCATATTAGTTTTCTTTTAAAGAAAGTTAACTATTATAATAAAAATTAATGTTTCAAAATGTTTTGACATTTCATTTCGACATATGACAGTTAGTACTATTTTTTTTTGGACATTTGGTACATAACCGTAAACTTGAATTTATTTTGTTTGAAGGTTAACCTCAATGTAAGCTCGTTGAAAAATCGTTTCAAAAATTCATTTTAATAATAATTTAAATTCCTATGGTGCTCCTAACGTCTGGAGCTTGTTGTAAATCGTTACAAATAGCACCATTGTAAGTGTTGTTTTTAAATTTGTTAATAATATTTGTAATAACTGTTGATGTGAAGTCATAATAAATATGTAATGTTTCTCTCTAAACTAGGAGTTGTAGAATTATTTCCTTTAAAAAGATTTTCGCCCTTTATTGTTTTTAGGAGAGAAAAGCCTTTCTTTCCATCCATCAAGAGGATTCTTGTAAACAGGGTCCTTTTCAAATAGTTAGAAACCTTCTTGTGTTGTGTTGCCCAGGAAATCTATGCAAGTATTTTTGATTCATTTCTTTGTAGTTACCTCTTCTAGTCCCTCTTTTATTCACTTACTTACGACCCAGCTCTCCAACCAAATCAAGAGTGGCCGTTCGCAAACGTTTCGGTTTATTTGCTTCCCTATCTCCAGCCCAGTAATTGCTCAGCCCCCACTTTCAACCACCTATAAGTGATACCCAATGTGGTAGACAAATAATAACCTCTTAAAACCGTTAGTAATATATGTCAAAAACTCACCAACTTGTAATTCGCGTGTTTATAGTACAGATCTTTTGAAAGTGTCACTGAAAGAGAATTTTCAAAACTTTTTATTTTGCAGAAGATTTTCAAGATAAAGGTTCCAATGTTGAATAACTGATCATTTATTATCTATTTTCAAAAAGTGTTACTAGAACCTAAAATAACTACAAGAAATAGTTCACAACTATACTCTAGTGACGTAATTCTGTATTTTTTTACAATTTAGTTCATCTGCATTGCAAATAAGAATATTTAATGGACCTTGTGCCATACTGTGTTAAATCTAAACTAAATTTAAAAGTTTACATTTTTAACATCATAATTGGGTTGCAGGCCGTATTTGGTAACCAACTAGTATCAAAAAGTATAGGATAGACTTTATTCGGTCAGTTAACTAATCCCAACTAAACTGAATTCTATATGCGGATTTGTAAACCACCAATTTAAACGACCCAATTCGGATAAAAAGTCCGGTCGCCGTATCGTTGACTGTCCTAATTTAAAAAATGTTGTTCTTTTATAATTTTAGTATTGAAAAAGATAACCATTATCTATGTAAAGTTTCATGTAGTAAGAAAACAATAGATACCTAAGTGTCAATCGTTTCAGGGAAATTAGACTAATTCTTGTGCACCGACACTTAAGGAATACTACTGCTTTTTTGAGACAAGTTCTTGAACGTTGTTTTTATTGGTTTATATTGGTTAAGTTGTCGCACCCCTGTCCCTTTAATGGGACAGGGGTGCGAAGAATCCCCGGGTGGAAAAACAAATTTAGTGTAAGCGATTTAAAACGCATAGCAACGTGGAATATAAGAACACTTTATGAAGCAGGAAAATTAACAACAGTCATGTTAGAAATGCAGAGATTAGACATACAAATATTGGGCCTTTCAGAAGTCCGATGGCCAAAGTCTGGAAACTACACCAAGGATAATAATACTATTTTCTACTCAGGCAAAAGCACTGGAGAACACAGCCATGGTGTTGGTATTATTATCAACAATAACTTAAAAGAGTTTGTGACAAATTTCATTCCCTTTAACGAACGTATGATGCTACTTCAGCTGAAAGGCAAACCTCTAAACATAAATCTAATCCAAGTGTATGCTCCAACATCTGATAGCAATGATGCTGAGGTCGAAAAATTCTACGCGGACTTAGAACTGTTAACAAAAAACATAAAGAAGCAGGAGGTAAAAATAATTATGGGCGACTTTAATGCTAAAGTCGGTCGAGGAAAAACTGGAAATATAGTAGGAAATTTTGGGTTAGGTAAAAGAAACGAAAGAGGAGACAGACTAATCCATTACTGCCAGGAGAAAGAATTAGTCATAACAAATACATACTACGACCTACCCCTACGAAGATTATACACGTGGATTTCTCCAAAAGATAACACCAACAATATAATCAGAAACCAAATAGATTTTATAACGATTAACAAAAGGTTTCGTAATGGAGTACAAAGTGCAAAAACCTATCCAAGCGCAGATGCAGATACGGATCATAATCTATTACTAGCAAACGTCAACATTAAACTCAGGAAACCGGAGAAAAAAGTTAAAACCACCAAAATTAACATCAAAAACCTAAAAGACGACAACTGCCAACAGCAACTAAACGCAGAGATAAATAAATTAACTGAAGGAAGCGTTGAATGGGCAGATATGAAAAAAGTCATACTAAAAGCGGGAAAGAAGGTCCTAGGCGAAGAAGAGAAAATAACTAAAAAAGACTGGATGACACCGGAAATAGTTGAGCTAATAACTGAAAAAAGAAAATACAAAAATAAAGATGAAAATAAATATAAAACCATCAAGAATAAAATCAAATATGAAATCAGAAAGGCTAAGGAGGAATGGATGAACAAAGAATGCCAGGAATTGGAAGAACTCAGCAACAAACATGACACCTCAAACTTACATAAAAAAATTAAAGAACTTACAGGCAACACCAAACAAAGAAGAACACTCATAACAAGAGATAATAATGGAGAGATACTTACTGAAGAGAGCAAAATAAAGGAAGTATGGGAACAATATATAATCCATATTTTCCATGACGAGAGAGAAAATGAACAAGATATAGGTGAAGAAAAACAATACCTACAAATTTTACCCTCAGAAGTAAAGAATGGCCCTACAGAATGCAAAACAAGGAAAAGCACCGGGCCCTGATCAAATTCCAGTTGAACTGTTAAAAGCCTTAGATGACGGTAATATAAAGAGACTCACCCGAATTCTCAACCACATATATGTAGAGGGCAACATCCCGGAAGAATGGCTTAAATCGATATTTTTACCTCTACCAAAAAACAACAATCCCAAATCATGTAATGACCATGTAATGAAAATTGTTCAAAACCGAATTTATAAGAAATGTGAGGAACAGATAGATGAAACTCAGTTTGGCTTCAGAGGAGGCATGGGTACAAGAGAGGCATTATTTGCGTTGACGGTACTCTTGCAGAAATGTCGGGAATATAACAAGAGTGCATATGTATGCTTCATAGACTTTAGGAAGGCATTTGACCGAGTGCAGTATATGAAGTTAATAGATGAATTAAAAAACATCAATTTAGACAAAAAAGACATTGAGTTTATTAAGGCTATATACTGGAACCAGAAAGCAGTAGTAAAGGTGAACGATATAGAAACAAATAATATACCGATTGCGAGAGGGGTTAGGCAAGGATGCGTCTTGTCTCCGACGCTTTTCAACGTGTACTCACAGGTCATATTCAGAAAAGCCTTATGGGAAAGAAAAGAGGGAATAAGAATTGGTGGAGAAATCATAAACACCATGAGATTTGCAGATGACACGGTAATTATGGCTGAGAGTATAGAAGATCTACAAACTTTACTAGATGCAATAAATAGTGAATGCATTCAAATGGGACTTGACATCAACACAGATAAGACCAAATTTATGATAGTATCAAGGAGTCCAATAAATAATGAACAACTAACTCTTGGTGGACAGCAAATAGAGAGAGTGACAAAATATAAATATCTGGGAGCTTACATCAACACAGAATTAGATCCAGACCAAGAGATCCGGGTACGAATAGAAATGGCAAGGGCAGCGTTCTTAAAATTCAAACAATTGTTGTGTGACAAAAATCTGAATATTGCGCTGAGACTGAGGTTTGTTGAATGTTACGTCTGGTCGCAATTATTGTACGGGGTAGAAACATGGACACTAAAAGCGCAAATAGTTAAAAAGATTGAAGCCTTTGAACTTTGGATATACCGGAGAATGTTGAGAATCCCATGGACTGCCAGGGTCACCAATGAGGAAGTGCTGAGAAGAATGGGTCGAGTCAAAAAATTGTTGAGAACGATAAAAGTACGCAAGACTGCATACCTTGGACACATACTAAGAAATAATAAATATAGTCTTCTGCAGGTCATCATGCAGGGTAGAGTCGATGGCAAAAAGGGAATAGGTAGAAAGAGGAAGTCATGGCTGCGAAATATTCGAGACTGGACAAACATGACTGTAGACGAATTATTTAACGTTGCAAAAGACAGAGAAGCTTTTAAAAATGTGGTCGCCAACCTCCGTTAATGGGGACGGCATAGGAAGAAGAAGATTGGTTAAGTTATTTTTAAAATGTCTTACCTGGTACACACCGGTATGGTTTACATAAAAATGTTGCATCCAACTTTGATTGGGTGATCATCGAACCTTTGTCTGCTGCAATTCGGGTATGAGTCCGTTCACCTTGCTCTAATTTATTATAGGAATCCGTATGAAATAAACCAGAATGTTGTGGATCTCCGCACGGACTTTCTTCGTCTTTCACACGCTTAAGAGTGGTTTCCTGACCGTTTCTAGTTTCTGTTTCTAAATTCATCAATGCTAAGTTAAATGCTTTAGTAAGCTGTATTGGTTTATTTATAACCGATGGTGGCGTTGCTTCATAAGTTTGATCATTTCTGTCACTTGTAATGACTGTATTATAAATATCAATACGTTTCACCGCATTGCTGATTACACCTCCTTCTGAACTCTGGTTTTGACAATCTTGATGTTTATTGTCATTTTTATTATCCGAAATTATAGTGTGATACGAACTGTCTACTTTATTTTCAGAAGAAACGGCGGACAAGTCTGCTATATCTGTTAATTTTGGCTGAGTTAATTCGTCAAAGTTTAGTTTTTTTTTCTTTTTTACAATTATGCCTACAAGCGAACTGCTTGCGTGTTTTCGTTTTAATAATTCATTATTTTGACTGTCGTCAGAAACCAACTCCACTTCTTTATTAGAATAACTGTTTGAATATTCAAATGACTTTGTGAGCTCAGCACTTGTACAGGCTTCATTGCATTCTATAACAGTCAAATCTTTCATAGTTTTCTGTTTTTTATTTTTACATTTGGGTCGCACTTTCTTAATAGCATCGCAAACTATTTTTTCTGTATTATTTTCAATATTTTCAGTGTTTGTCGCAATAGAACTGTCTTTCAACATATGACACATTCGCTTACCAGATGCCGTTAAGACATCATCTCTAATAAACATTTCTCGAATATCTTCATGAAGTCTGTCCAATTCTGATCCTCTCTTTTTCCTAGGCTTATCTCCTAAAATGGGTTCTCTCTTTGATTTTATGTTTTCTTCTACCGTAACTACTAACATCTCATTTTCTTGATCCATATAATTCCTTGTATCTTCTAAAATGTCTTCACCTCCTGCAGTTTTTTTACTTAATAAGTTACCTTCAACTTCGTTAGTATGTTGTTTAACTGGATAAGACGTGATGCTTTCTTTTAGTTGATGTTTTGTAATTACTTTTTCATGTGCATTATCCTGATCTTTGATACCATTGACGTTCACTTCTTCGTGAGAAATATTCTTGTTAGTATTAGATATATTTGTCTTTATAGAAAGTTCTTCATCAGAACTGTCTTCATACTCGTCTTTAGAATTAATAATTTTATTTATTTTATGTAATTCTTTTGGACTAAAACTATCAGAGAACGTACTAATAAGAGAATATATAGCAGTCTTCTTTTCTTGTTTATCTTGACTTCCTAAGAGGTTAGCAAAATGTTTTGCCAGTATTGATTGTTCAATGGGAGTTTTAACAGATTTCTCGGTGTTTTTCGAAGTCGAAGGCTGATAAAATTGCGAATTTTCATTATTTTTAGTTTTTGAATCAACATCTAAATGATTTCTAATTTGATTTTCAATTATGATAGAAGTCTGAGGTTCTTTCTCCTCAACACATTGAGAAGTAACATCCATCGGAGTGTCATTTTCAATATATATGGATATATCCACTCGTTCCTTCAAGTTGTTGCTCAGATCTGCTTCATTTAAGACGTTGTTAGCAGTTGATACTGGTACATATTTTGTTTTATTTATACAGTCCAACGAACCTTGACGCTTTTCTTCATAATGACTAATATCTACATTTTTGTTTGGATGATTTTGTTCCAATTCGTTTTTATCAATAGTTCCTTTATGCATTTCAGTCTCTTGTTCTTTTTGTTCTCTTTGACCATTTTGCTTTTTGGATATTTCAAAACTTCGTAGGCTATCTCTTGCACCTTCTTTAGATACCTCTAATGGGCCGTTATCAGCACGTAGAGTACTGACCTCAATTTCTACTACATTTATATTTGTATTAACGTCTGTCTTATTTGAAATATCATTCGCAGTTGACACCTGATTTGTTTTATTTAAACAGTAGAATGGAACTTGATATTTTCCTTCATCTTGACTAATATCGCAATTTTTCTGTAGATGGTCTTGTTCTACTTTGTCTTGATTAATAGTTTCTTTACTCATTTCGGTATCTTGTGCTTTTTTGTATCTTTCCTCCTTTATATTTTTACACATTTGAACATTGTGTAACACATCTCTTGTATCTTGTTTAGAAACATCGAATATACTGCTATCGACACAAACAGTATTATTCTTAATTTCTCTTTTATTCAGGTCCATTTTATTAGAGCTATCATTCGAAGTTGATACTGGAATAGATTTTGTTTTATCTAAACAGATTAATAAATCGTTACTTTCTCCATAACCATAAGTCCGATCAACATTTTTATCTAGATGGTCTTGATCTACTTCGTTTTGATTAATAGTTTCTTTATTCATTTCAGTCAACTGCAGTTTGTTTTCCCTTTCCCACTTTTTCTTCTTAGATATTTCAAAACTCTGTAACACATCTGGTGCACCTTCTTTACATGCATCGAATGTAGTGTTATTCACACAAACCGTACTTTTCTCTATTTCGATTTTATTTGGGATATCAATCAAAGTTAATATTTGAATAGATTTTGTTTTATTTAAACAGACTAATGAATCCTTACTTGCACCTTCACTATCAATACGATCAACATTTTTATTTAGATGGTTTCGTTCTACTTTGTCTTGATTAATAGTTTCTTTACTCATTTCAGTATCCTGTACTTTTTTGTCTCCTTCCTCTTTTACCTTCTTAGATATTTGACCACTGTGTAACACTTCTCTTGCAACTTGTTTAGATACATCGAATGTACTGCTATCGACACAAATAGTATTATTCTCAATTTCCCTTTTATTCAGGTCTATTTTATTTGAGATATCAATCGCAGTAGAAACTGAAATAGATTTTATTTTATTTAAACAGCCTGATGATTCCTTAGTTGCTCCTTCACCAAGAATAAGATCAATATTTTTATTTAGATGGCCTTGTTCTACTTTGTTTTGATTAATAGTTTCCTTACTCCTTTCAGTATCTTGTACTTTTTTGTCTCTTTCCTCCTTTATCTTTTTAGATATTTGACCACTGTGTAACACTTCTGTTACACCTTGTTTAGATACACCGAATGTACTACTATCAACACAAAGAGTATTATTCTCAATTTCCATTTTATTTGAGATATCATTCGCAGTAGAAACTGAAATAGATTTTGTTTTATTTAAATAGCCTGATGATTCCTTAGTTACTCCTTCACCATGAGTAAGATCAACATTTTTATTTAGATGGTCTTGTTCTACTTTGTCTTGATTGATAGTTTTTATACTCATTTCAGTATCCTGTACTTTTTTGTCTCCTTCCTCTTTTACCTTTTTAGATATTTGAACACTGTGTAACACTTCTCTTGCACCTTGTTTAGATACATCGAATGTACTGCTATCGACACAAACAGTATTATTCTCAATTTCCCTTTTATTCAGGTCCATTTTATTTGTGGTATCATTCGCAGTTGATACTGGAATAGATTTTGTTGTATTGAAACAGCCTGAGGTTTCCTTAGTTGTTCCTTCACCATAAGTAAGATCAACATTTTTATTTAGATGGTCTTGTTCTAATTTGTCTTGATTATTAGTTTTTATACTCATTTCAGTCTCCTGTGCTTTTTTGTCTCCTTCCTCTTTTACCATTTTAGATATTTGACCGCTGTGTAACACTTCTATTGCACCTTGTTTAGATACACCGAATGTACTGCTATCGATACAAACAGTATTATTCTCAATTTCCCTTTTATTCACCTCCATTCTATTTGAGGTATCATTCACAGTTGATACTGAAATTGATTTTGTTTTATATAAACAGCCTGATGATTCCTTAGTTGTTCCTTCACCATAAGTAAGATCAACATTTTTATTTGAATGGTCTTGTTCTACTTTGTCTTGATTATTAGTTTTTATACTCATATCAGTATCCTGTACTTTTTTATCTCCTTCCTCTTTTACCTTTTTAGATATTTCAGCGCTGTGTAACACTTCTCTTGCACCTTGTTTAGATACACCGAATGTACTGCTATCGATACAAACAGTATTATTCTCAATTTCCCTTTTATTCAGGTCCTTTTTATTTGAGATATCATTCGCAGTAGAAACTGAAATTGATTTTGTTTTATATAAACAGGCTGATGATTCCTTAGTTGTTCCTTCACCATAAGTAAGATCAACATTTTTATTTGAATGGTCTTGTTCTACTTTGTCTTGATTATTAGTTTTTATACTCATATCAGTATCCTGTACTTTTTTATCTCCTTCCTCTTTTACCTTTTTAGATATTTCAGCGCTGTGTAACACTTCCCTTGCACCTTGTTTAGATACATCGAATGTACTGCTATCGACACAAACAGTATTATTCTCAATTTCCTTTTTATTCAGGTCCATTTTATTTAAGGTATCATTCGCAGTTGATACTGGAATAGATTTTGTTGTATTTAAACAGCCTGATGATTCCTTAGTTGTTCCTTTACCATAAGTAAGATCAACATTTTTATTTAGATGGTCTTGTTCTACTTTGTCTTGATTATTAGTTTTTATACGCATATCAGTATCCTGTACTTTTTTATCTCCTTCCTCTTTTGCCTTTTTAGATATTTCAGCGCTGTGTAACACTTCTCTTGCACCTTGTTTAGATACACCGAATATACTGCTATCGATACAAACAGTATTATTCTCAATTTCCCTTTTATTCAGGTCCATTTTATTTGTGGTATCATTCGCAGTTGATACTGGAATAGATTTTGTTGTATTGAAACAGCCTGAGGTTTCCTTAGTTGTTCCTTCACCATAAGTAAGATCAACATTTTTATTTAGATGGTCTTGTTCTAATTTGTCTTGATTATTAGTTTTTATACTCATTTCAGTCTCCTGTGCTTTTTTGTCTCCTTCCTCTTTTACCATTTTAGATATTTGACCGCTGTGTAACACTTCTATTGCACCTTGTTTAGATACACCGAATGTACTGCTATCGATACAAACAGTATTATTCTCAATTTCCCTTTTATTCACCTCCATTCTATTTGAGGTATCATTCACAGTTGATACTGAAATTGATTTTGTTTTATATAAACAGCCTGATGATTCCTTAGTTGTTCCTTTACCATAAGTAAGATCAACATTTTTATTTGAATGGTCTTGTTCTACTTTGTCTTGATTATTAGTTTTTATACTCATATCAGTATCCTGTACTTTTTTATCTCCTTCCTCTTTTACCTTTTTCGATATTTCAGCGCTGTGTAACACTTCTCTTGCACCTTGTTTAGATACACCGAATGTACTGCTATCGATACAAACAGTATTATTCTCAATTTCCCTTTTATTCAGGTCCTGTTTTTTTGAGATATCATTCGCAGTAGAAACTGAAATTGATTTTGTTTTATATAAACAGGCTGATGATTCCTTAGTTGTTCCTTCACCATAAGTAAGATCAACATTTTTATTTGAATGGTCTTGTTCTACTTTGTCTTGATTATTAGTTTTTATACTCATATCAGTATCCTGTACTTTTTTATCTCCTTCCTCTTTTACCTTTTTAGATATTTCATTGCTGTGTAACACTTCCCTTGCACCTTGTTTAGATACATCGAATGTACTGCTATCGATACAAACAGTATTATTCTCAATTTCTTTTTTATTCAGGTCCATTTTATTTAAGGTATCATTCGCAGTTGATACTGGAATAGTTTTTGTTGTATTTAAACAGCCTGATGATTCCTTAGTTGTTCCTTTACCATAAGTAAGATCAACATTTTTATTTAGATGGTCTTGTTCTACTTTGTCTTGATTATTAGTTTTTATACGCATATCAGTATCCTGTACTTTTTTATCTCCTTCCTCTTTTGCCTTTTTAGATATTTCAGCGCTGTGTAACACTTCTCTTGCACCTTGTTTAGATACACCGAATATACTGCTATCGATACAAACAGTATTATTCTCAATTTCCCTTTTATTCAGGTTCATTTTATTTGAGATATCATTCGCATTAGAAACTGAAATAAATTTTGTTTTATTTATACAGCCTGATGATTCCTTAGTTGCTCCTTCACCATGAGTAAGATCAACATTTTTATTTGAATGGTCTTGTTCTACTTTGTCTTGATTATTAGTTTTTATAATCTTTTCAGTATCCTGTACTTTTTTGTCTCCTTCCTCTTTTACCTTTTTAGATATTTGACCGCTGTCTAACACTTCTCTTGCACCTTGTTTAGATACACCGAATGTACTGCTATCGATACAAACAGTATTATTCTCAATTCCCCCTTTATTCAGGTCCTTTTTATTTGAGATAACATTCGCAGTAGAAACTGAAATGGATTTTGTTTTGTTTAAACAGCCTGATGATTCCTTAGTTGTTCCTTCACAATGAGCAAGATCAACATTTTTATTTGAATATTCTTGTTCTACTTTGTCGTGATTATTAGTTTTTATACTCATTTCAGTATCCTGTACTTCTTTGTTTGCTTCCTCTTTTACCTTCTTAGATATTTGACCACTGTGTAACACTTCTCTTGCAACTTGTTTAGATACACCGAATGTACTGCTATCGATACAAACAGTATTATTCTCAATTTCCCTTTTATTCAACTCCATTCTATTTGAGATAACATTCGCAGTTAAAATTGAAATGGATTTTGTTTTATTTAAACAGCCTGATGATTCCTTAGTTGTTCCTTCACCATGAGTAAGATCAACATTTTTATTTGAATGGTCTTGTTCTACTTTGTCGTGATTATTAGTTTTTATACTCATTTCAGTATCCTGTACTTTTTTGTCTCTTTCCTCTGTTACCTTTTTAGATATTTGACGGCTGTTTAACACTTCTCTTGCACCTTGTTTAGATACACCGAATGTACTGCTATCGATACAAACAGTATTATTCTCAATTTCCCTTTTATTCAGGTCCATTTTATTTGAGATGTCATTCGCAGTAGAAACTGAAATAGATTTTGTTTTATTTAAAAAGCCTGATGATTCCTTAGTTGCATCTTCACCATCAGTACTGTCAACACTTTTATTTAGTTGATCTTGTTTTACTTTGTCTTGATTAATAGTTTCTTTACTCATTTTAGTCTTTTTAGATATTTGAACACTGTGCAATATTTCTTTTGCACCTGGTTTAGATACATCGAGTGTACTGCTATTAATAAAAACAATTTTATTCTCAATTTCACTGTTATTCAGGTCCATTTTATCTGAGGTATCATTCGCACTTGATACGGGAATATATTTTGTTTTATTTAAACATCCTAATGAATCCTTACCTTCTCCTTCAACATGAGTAGGATCAACATTTTTATTTAAATGGTCTTGTTCTACTTTGTCTTGATTAATAGTTTCTTTACTCGTTTCAGTCTCCTGTTTTTTTACTTTTCCTTTTTCGCTGGTTTTATTTTTGGGTACTGGAATATCTTCTAACTCATACCCTGCACCTTCTAAACAGGCTTCTAATGCTTTGTTATCAACAAATGCATAACTGTGATCAATTATTCTTTTATTCAAGTTTGTATTAATGTCTAGAAAAATTTGATTGTAATCTTCTACCTCATTTTGGTTGATAGTTTCGTTACTCGTTTTAATATCTTGTTCTGTAGCAATTTCTTTGTCTTCCTTGTTCTTCTTAGGTATTCTAAAACTTGAAAACGATATTGAACTGTCCTTAATATCTCTTTTATTTAAGGTTTTATTTAGATGTTTTTTATTTGGAGTATCATTTGCAATTGGTTCTAAAACAGGTTTTGTTTTATTTAAATAGTCAAAGGACCCTTTATTTTTCCTTACGTCATGACTAGGATCAACATTTTTATTTCGATGGTTCTGGTCTACTGCAGACTTATTAATTTCTTTATTCGTTTCAATCTCTTGTTTTTGAGCTTTTCGATTGTGTGCCTTTTTCTTTTTGGAAGTTAAAAACCTTTGTAACTCATATATTGCACTTTCTTTACAAACTTCTAATGCATCATTATCAACACCTACGGCACTGTTTCCAAATTGTCTACTATTTAATGTTTTATTAAGGTTTGTTTTATTTGGGATGTCATTCATAGTTGATACTGGAATAGATTTGAATGTATTTAAAGAGCCTGATGAATCTGTACTTTCTTCACCATGACTACAATTAATATTTCTATTTTGGTGGTCAATTTCTATTCCATATTGATTAATTGTTTCATTAATCTTTTCAGTCTCTCGTTGTTTAGCTTTTCGTCTTCTTTTCCTTTTCTTTTTGGATATTCCATAAGTTTGTAACCCATGTATTGCACTTTTTGTACAAACTTTTAATTGGCCGTTATCAACACATAAGGAACTGTTCTTAATTTCTCTTCTATTTATTTGTTTGATAAAGTCTGTTTTATTTGGAATGTTATTCGCGGGTGGAATTCGTGGATTCGATACTAAAACATATGGTTTTTTGTTTACACAGTCCAGTGAATCTTTGCTGTCGCCTTGACACTTATTAAGATTAACGTTTTTATTTGAATGGTGATATACTAGTTTATCTTGGTTAACAGTTTCTTTACTGGGTTTAGAATGTGGTTCTTTAGCTTTTTCTGTTTCTTGTTTGTTCTTTTTAGGGATCCTAAAACTTTGTAACCCATATCCTGCACTACTTTTATGTTGTTCTTTGTTCCCATTTGTACTATCTGATGAAGATGAAACTGGTTTAGTTGGTGATTTTGATCTTGCGCATGATTCATGTCTATTTATTCTTGAATAGATCAGATCAAATTTTGACTCATATTGGTCAGATCTAGAGTCTTCAAGACTAGATGATCGTCCTCTAATTAGTCTTATATCCTCATTACTTTTTCCTGCTACATCTAAGTTTGGTTTAGTAACATTATTTTCTTTTTCTCTATTTGGCTTCCTGTTACTTACTATATTTTTATTAAGTCTAGGATCTTTAATCTCTTTTGAATGTTTATCTCTTGAATTTTTAATCACTCTAGGATCTCTATTAGTTTCTTGCTTATGGATCACCTTATTAACAAGGCCACATGAACTCTTATTCTGATTTTGTTTTCGGTCTTGTTGATGAGGTACAGAAACCGATAAAACAGGGGGAATATGATTAGTTGGGGAAAATAGGCCTGTATTTTGAGTAGAATAATATTGAGGTGGTTCCCTGTGATTATTACTGAATGGTTGGTTATATTTCTCTTCCATATTACTTGTCAGTAAGGTGATATTTGGAACAAACGTTGTAGAAGGTGGATCATGAGAACCTCTAGAAGCATTGTATTCAATTTCATACGCAGATACAAAATTTTCATTTGAAGATGCAAGTAAATTTAGACCTTGAGGATTATTATGTGTGACGTTGATTCCTCTTAAAACGCTATTAGGGGTAATAGTAGTTGATAAATTCATTTTGTTGACAGTAATATCTGTATCATCATGTTTACTTTTAGCATGTTTTTTACACTTTTCATTTTCTATCTCATACGCAGACGCAAAATTTTCGATTTTCTTTTTGACTGATGATTCTTGTTCTCCAGTATTCGACAAATTTGTATTCATTGGATTGTCCAAAAGTTGATCATTTTTTTGAAACATATTCATCTCCCTAGCAATCTGATTGTCATTATTTTTAGTGTTAGCATATTTTTTATAATTTTCGTTTTTTGTTAGACATATTTTATCGCTTCCATTATTTTTTTTTGCTTCTTCTTTATTTTTCTCAACGTGTATATACACATATCTGTATTCCTCTTGCTCTTTATCGATTTCTTTGAGTTTATCACCAGTTTTCGATAGAATACTACCAAAGTCACTGGAATTTTCTTCTGTACTGTGGGAACTTACTTTAGGAATTAATGGAATAGATTTACTTAAATGCAAATCATTTGAATGATCTTTTACATCTCTATTTGCTAAATTTAAATTGTAATCAGCTTTTACGCAGTCTTTTTGATGATCATGTGTTGGTTTATTAGTTACCATTAACTTGTTAGTCACTTTATGTTTATCACCCAATTCTGTAACACTAGATGTCCGATTTAGTTTTTTCTGTACATCAATTTCCAAACATTTTAGATCCTCAAAATTAATAGGAGGGTTTGAAATAATCGTGACGTCTTCTAGAGAAAACCTTTTTTTCTGCTCATCTGATTTTAAATTGTCCTTCATACTATCCCTCGCGCTTGCATAGCCATCTACGGTATGATGTAGCATTCTGAAAAATATTTTTTATGAATATGCTGGATTATGTACAAAAATAAAGATATGTACACACACACACACACACACACACACACACATATATATATATATATATATATATATATATATATATATATATATATATATATATATATATATATCGGAAAAAGGAGTACGACCGTCAATCCAATATATGTAAGGATCACTCAGACGAGTGGTGGGTTCTTATATCGGTCTCTAGGTGGAGAAATAAAAGACAAAGTTGATAGGCTACTTTATCTATTTTGAAGACGTTTCGCTTTCGAGTTTTGAAAGCATCATCAGTTCATCTAAAAAGTACAATATGAGAACCACACAATCATGGAAACGATGTTAATTGTTACCTTAAAAAGACATGTAGCAGTCAAAGTTATTAACAGTAATGTGAATGAAACTTAAGTAAATGGACATAATACGCTGATCTTGTATAAACAATTAAGTAACTAACAACATAAAATATATGAACTTATAAAAATTAGCACAGCAAATGACCATGTGGTCTAAAGTAAATGAAATGTTATTTAATATTAATTAGTGAGAAAGAGAAGTTGTCTATGATTTTCTTGGTTCATTCTGTTGTTTGTTGTTTATATATATATATATATATATATATATATATATATATATATATATATATATATATATATATATAAACAACAGTTTATTAGGGTTGCAGTAAGAATATTGGCCGGGATGTTAAAAAAACACTCTTTTGACTTCTTGTCTAGCTTTCGGAAACGTTTTATTTATTTTTCAAGACATAGTCATTGAGATTAATTTATAAAAGCATTGACACTCAACATATATAAAACACATTAAAATATAAAATCATGGACAAAATACATTCTAAAATTTTTAAAATTTAGGGTAAAGATAGTAAAACTTAGTTTATGGCATGTTTTACTGGTGTGTTTTTTTTGTAGAAAAAAAAACAAACAAAAAACAAAAAAGAAAAAAAAAACACACCAATAAAACATGCCATAAACTAAGTTTTGCTATCTTTACCCTAAATTTTAAAATGTATTTTGTCCATGATTTTATATTTTAATGTGTGTTATAAATGTTGAGTGTAAATGCTTTTATAAATAAAATTAATCTCAACAACTATGTCTAAAAAAAGGAATAAAACCATTCCGAAAGCTAGACAAAAAGTCAAAAGAGTGTTTTTTAACATCCCGGCCAATATTCTGATTGCAACCCTAATTAAACCGTTGTTTGTTTATATCGACAGTAACTAATATCCAGTATTTCTTATATATATATATATATATATATATATATATATATATATATATATATATATTGGAAAATGTTGAAGTAAAGATAAATGATAATATCAGCAGAAAATCTTAATACCTACTACTATGTACAATCGAAATTGCGAAATTGGTGGGAAAATAATAAAGCAGGAAGCAAGGTTTAGATATCTGGGAATTGTTGGAAAACCAACTAATTCTTTAACTGTTTCAATTTAACCTAACGCCGCCTCTGTTCCTGAATAACACATGTTAGCCCTTATTAGTTAAAAGAACCAGAAATCTTCAGTGCATTTGACGCCCCTCATACACCCGCTGACCCTTTGTCATTTGCCCAAGCTGGCCACATATTGCATACAAGCATATAAGGGCAGTCGTATTAAGTAGTTCAAGTCAAGAAGTCGCTAAATAAGTTATTCTCTCTCCTCGTTTCTCTCTCACCCGTATCACACAACAAGATATATTAATATATTACAAGTTATATGATAAGGTAGTTTAGTGTTGCAAAGTGCAAGGTGTATATATGTAAAATATTTCACAAGTAAAATAAATCGAAGAAGTAAAGTGTAAGTGTATAATTTCACCCCCACAAGAGTAACAAAACGAATCAGCAACCTACGCTTATATCCTGTAACAAATCAAGACAGGTCACCACAAGGGTTTTGGTGCTCTCAGGGAACGTTGAAAATAACCCCATCGTTTCCCTTTATGGTCCTTCGAGCCGGATTTGAACCAGCGACCTATGGATACATAAAGGGAAACGATGGGGTTATTTTCAACGTTCCCTTAGAGCACCAAAACCCTTGTGGTGACCTGTCTTGATTTGTTACAGGATTTAAGCGTAGGTTGCGAGGTGGTGCGATAATTAAAACAATGTAGGAGACTAATATTGAAGAAGAAACAAGCTTTAAAGCCTACATACAAGAAGAAAGAAGATAAAGGGGCAGTTTCTGAACAAATTGAGGTTTGCAGATGACATAGTCGTTATTGCAGACCAGGTAAATCATGACTGCCAACTTCTTCAAGACTTTCAGAGCTCCTGTACACGAGTTGGCCTTAAAATTAACTTTAAAAACACAATACATGACCAACCTTGTACTGACCAAAATCATTTCAACTAATGTAACGCAAATTAAACAAATATATACCTATAAGTATCTAGGTCACGAGACTAAATTAGAAAGAGCCAATCAAACAACAGAGTTAAGGCTGTTTTATCGGTTCCCCCAAATTTTTTCTCTGTTATTTACCGACGAAATGTCTCGAAATTTGGACATGTTATTCGAAATTATGTTGCCTTTAAAATTATCGTTTTACTTTTTTTATTTTTTTGAATTTTATGTTGAAAAATTGGATTCTACTGTTTAACGTTCTATTATAACCAAACTTTTCACGCCCGTCAGTTGAAAGAGTTTTTTTTTCTGTAATCGTTGATTCTTTTTTCACCTTTCTGTGTTCAGTAATAATCGAGAAAAGCGTATTCAAACTTTTAAGAAAATTGCTAAAAAATATTGAAATCTAATAGTGAAACGTGCTCATCATTGTCGCTTAGCTTGATCGTTATCGCATGAGTGACGTCAAATCTCATAAACGTACGGTATGGTCTTATTTTTATTTCTCTATGGGTACGGTCAGTTAGTTCGCTTGAATCAGAATCCATTTTAGTTCTTTCATTCTTGTATTTTCTTTATCAACTTGCTTAGTTTTTACAGTTTACAGTATTCTTATTTATTTTGAAATTATTTAGTTTACGGGTATGTTTAAGTAATATATTATTAGTTTAGTGGTATAAGTTAAAAGTTCTTTAGTTTACGCGTATTTTTAAGTATTACATTAGGTTAGTGATACAACCGTTTTGAAAGCTTTTATTTATATATATATATATATATATATATATATATATATATATATATATATATGTATATATATATATATATGTATATATATATATATATGTATATATATATATATATATATATATATATATATATATATATATATATATATATATATATATATCAACACCCGTTGTTTGTTTTATTTTAAAAATATAATAGTTTATCTTCAGTAAGTTCGTATCTTTTTCCTAGAATAATTTTGTTTCTTTCTCATATTTTTAAGAACTTAAAAATCAAAAAAGCTACTATAAACAAAAGTTTTTCATCAAATAGTTCATTCCATCAAGAATTAGCAGAAACATCTACTTTACCTAGTTGTAGTGTCGATTCGTAAGTAACCTTTTTTACTTTTTTTTTATTTACTTACCGTAAAGTAAGTAAATAGAGGGTTCATGACCTTACATATTATTTGTTTATGGTCAAAATATTACCAATGTTTTACTCTTAAATAATATTAATAACAAATAATATCATTTGCAGAAAATACTTTAAATTTTATCGTTATTTCTAGTAATAGCTGTCATTCTCAGTCAGTTGAGATTGCCTCTTCGCAAAAACCATCATTTTCGGTAGAAGGCAGAAGAATAGTGGACATAAACTTTTTCATTAAATCTATTCAAGGTTTGAATAATCATTCTCCATTTTCATGCAACTTTTCTAATATGGAGATTATCAAAGAAAAAATGGACGGATTGATAAGTACATTGACTTTTAAATGTCAAATGTGGAATATGTAAAAGGAGATAGCAACATAGGATTCTGGTAACAGTTCACTGAACTTGAATGGTTCTGGTTATTCAGACATACAGCAGCAGCACGCTGCATCAAATATACCTGTGCTGTCCTACAGGAAGTATGCAAAACATATGGAGACAGTTGCAGATATCATCGGCCAAACACTTTGTGATTCCTTAGAAGAGGCTGGACGGGAGGAATTGGCTTTAGCCAAAGAAATTGGTGAAGTAGATTCCGACGGAAATGGGTTAATAACCGTTATAGCTGATGGTGCTTGGTCAAAAAGATCGTATAAAGTAAACTACGATTCTTCTTCAGGTGTAGTACCTGACGTTGTAAAATTTATTAAATTAGTACGCCTTTGATGGATAGGACATGTAATTAGGCGAGATGAAGATGAAACGATCAGAAAAAATTTCGAGCGAAGAAGACCTGTGGGAAGACGATCCAGAGGAAGACCAAAACTTAGGTATGAAGATAACATAGAGGATGATCTAAAATCCATCGGAGTTAAAGCATGGAGAAAGTTGCCAGAGGCAGGGGCGAATGGAAGATTGTTCTGAAGAAGCCTTTGGCTCATGACGAGCTGTAATACCACTGATGATGATGAAATAACTATCCACGATTTGTGTTTTATTCATCAATTGAATACTTTTCTTATGTAACTGCAACCTATAAATATATTAAAATAATGTATATTCCATTCAGAACTTTTTTCTCGCAGTGCGTCGCCTCGAAATACTTGCCAGACAAATACGTTTACTATTATGATGGTTTCGCAGGTACCAATTTTTTATAGATAAATAAAAATATTTTTTGTTTAATTTTTACTACGCTAATATCAGTTTTCTCTAACACATAAATAACTTCTTGAAATAATTTTCAAGCTATAACTGCGAAATTGTTTATTTGTTTGTGACAACAAATTGTAATTTTTTTGATAATAATATTCTTATGTTATTTTAAATTTATTATAAATAAACACCATGGTGTTTTTTGCAGTCACGTTTCACAAATTTTTATTTAATACTATGTTTAGCTAAGACATATAAATTAAAAATGTGATTAATTCTTTTTAAAACATTATCTACGATAATCAATCTAAAAGAAAGTATTCCGACAAAACTAATTTGAATTGAGAATAATGCATTTATTGTCATTAAACAACCCGTGGGCCGGCGCCACTGAATAAAAATGAACGTAGGGTCTGACATAAGCAGTGTAGAAAAGTAAGTGATACGCCCACTTCAAATCGCAGTATGCTATAACTGCGAAAACAGCCTTAAACAGGATAATACGACTAATATGAGCACCCTACGGAAAACTGAGGGAAGTCTTTAGATCAGGTATTCCCATGTGCTTAAAAAAAGAAGGTCTTTGATCAATGTATACTCCCAGTTCTATCGTTTGGAGAAGAAACATTAACTCTTACCAGAAAAGTAATCAATAAGTGGCACAGAGAGCAACGAAGAGGTCAATGTTGAATATATCCCTCAGAGAGTTTCGAGTTTCAAATCAAATAGTTGGACCAAGAAAATTTTAGAATGGAAACCTAGACACGATGTTTATCGTAATCGAGGACATCCTCCAACACGGTGGTCGGACGACATCAAACGCATCCAGAACAACTGGATTCAAGATGCTCAAGATCGGATGCAATAAAATTATTTACGGGAGACCTATGTTCAGTAGTAGACTCAAAACGACTAATGATGATATATATGGTATTGAACGAGATTTTTAGTGTTTTAATTAAGACATGAATTACTGATACATCACTTAAGAGTTACTAATTTACATATATTGCATATTACCTTTCCGATGATGCAAGAACTTTGGAACTATCTGACGAGCTACAGCAAACCGTCCTAGTAGTGTCCTTATCCGATTCGATAGATTTGGGATTCTATAAAAGATTAAAAATTTAAATCCAAACATATTTCATTAATATGGGTACTTACCATTTTTTTGTATATTTTTGAGATAACGTGTTGACATTTATTTAGGGTATCGATCTTTAACCTAAAAATTAATATTATGTAAAAACAGTTTTAGATTGCATCGAATAGTTTAAAAAAATATAATAACATTTGAAATGCAAGCGTATGTAAATATTTTCGTAATCTCTAATCTATAAAATACATTAAAGTCTCGACTTGCATTTTATCGAAATAGAGACTGTTGATCAGTAATATTATTTCACATTTTGTTTCTTAATATTAATACCTTGCAACAAATAAATAATATTCCTAATTGTATGAATAGATTTTTAGATTTTGCTCTGACTAATATAGATGTTTCTACTGTGGCAAGGTCTACTGTCCATTAGTTGCTGAAGATTCGTATCACCCCGCTCTAATGCTCAGTATCAGAGAGTATTATCCCGTCTTATTAATTTTGGTATAATAGGATTACTTACAATTTTTCTGACTGTGGATAATGTTTTAGCCTAAGTTGCCGTTTCATGTAAGGCTTCGTTACTGTCATGTGTTTTTCGACAAGAATTTAAAAAAAAAAATAGCAATAATTTGTTTTGCATCAGTATATAAATGTATTCGTTGGCGGTGTTCAGGTTCTAATACTTGAATGAGATCAACTCCTTGTCGATTTGGTTCCGGTTCATTAACTGGCGAAATTGCCCATATTATCCTCTGGACTCCAGGGACGCCACATTGTTTCATACAATAAAGGTAAATTTAACCTACGTAAATTTACCGGCAAGTGCACACACTCTAAATTTAAAAATAAACACTTTTATAACAATAGTCAACTATTTTTTTGCACAAACTGAACATTCAAACGACTTTACAACCAATTCCATCGAAAGCAGACTTTTAAGTGTTAGTTTGACATCGTACAACTCTCTTCGAATTAAAAAACAATGAACGATAAATAACAGGTAGAAAGTTATATAAATTCCAAGTAATTTGTTAGTAGATCAATTAAGTTAAACGTTTACCCATCATAACTGTATATACGGGATTGTCAGTTGGATTGAGCTGTTTGAGATATTATCCGTTTTCCCAAAACTTATTAATTTCCACGGCCGGTCCAGTCAATTTGACTAAATTAAGATATTCATAATTTTGGGCGCATTTTCTTCGTTGAGACTTAAAATAATGATTAATAAATGAATACAATAATTATGGGCAATTTTTATGTTTATAAAAAGAGTTTTTTGACATTACGCTTTAATGATAATATTTGATCTGATTATATGTACCTACCTACAGTTGACTTGGCTATATACCGGTCCTGGCAGCTTGGGTAGCTGTGATAATTATACAACAATAGAGTATTTACAAGGGATTATTCAGTTTTACAGCTGTTATTAAAATAAGTTTTATAATGAGGCACTAAATTTCTGAATACAGTATATATAATAGGATACTACCCAATACTGCCCATTCTTTATTTATTTGCCAGATTATATAAGAACTACTTACTTTTTATCTCTAATCATGGCATACAAAGATTCAATTTTGGTAAGTTGAAACTTTTTATTTGGGTCCGTTTTGAGCTGATTTATCATTTTTTCCAAAAATGGCATATACTTCTTTAACTCTTCCATCTTATGATTATAATCCTCGTCAGACATTGTTGAAAATTCTAAAAATAATTATTCAAGTGATAACAATTAAAGTTCTTAATAAAGTAGCAAGGCCAAATTATCAGGTATATCAGGTTAGAGCTGTTGATAAAACAAACAAGATGTAGGATAAAAAAATAATAATAATAATAAAAGAAACCTTTTTTCTACTCAGCGTTTACTAATATATGGTCAAAATGTATGTTAAAAATATGTCAAGGTATAAAACTCATTCAACATTATTTATTCTAATATTGAGGTATATGTATTAAAAAGATATGAATAAAAGATCTCAAGAAAAATTTATTGCAAAAACATTAAACTAACTAGATCAGCCTAGCCTTTTTGTTTTCTGTACACCGAGCTGGGGATCGAAGTCACATCCGCTGAACCATTCGCAGTGAAGCGAATGAGAATCCGGCCGCCCAGCCAGCTTAACTATCTGACCGACCGATATATATATATATATATATATATATATATATACATATATATATATATATATATATATATATATATATATATATATATATATTATATGTGTGTGTGTGTGTGTGTGTGTGTGTGTGTGTGTGTGTGTGTGTGTGTGTGTATGTGTGTGTACTGTAATATAATAATAATGTAAAACTACTATTTTTTGATTCTGATTTTCCTAGTTTTCACATTTTCGCTGTGCCACCAGCTGAAAAAGACTAACTACATTTGCATAAAACAAGCTAATAATAAATACATGTATTTCCATCTTGCGATTAACAAAAAAACTAAACCCATTAACATAAATTAACATTACAGGCACCAATTTTTTAAAGAAATATATGTAATAGGAGGATAATTTACTATCAGACATATCGGAATGGTAGCCAAAATAAATTATTTCTTTTCGAATATGGTATTCTCAGACTAATTTATGTAAAATAGGGTAATTTAGTTTGTGATTTCCAGTTGTCTCAATCAAGCACTCCTGTTTGAAATAATATTTGTAAAAATGGCTAATACAAGTAGTAGAATAGATAAATTATTAATCCTGAGATTCTACACTGGTTCTGATATGTTAATGACTGCTTAGTCTTTATTTCAGGTAACTCTAAATCAGCCCATAAATTACTTCATAAAACCAATCAAATTCATCCTAACATTACTTGTATTATGGAACTAGAAACTTCTAATTCCATCAACTTCCTTAACTTATCCATCACCAGACAGACTAAATGACCACTTTAGCTTTGGTATCTACTGTAAACCTACACAAAAAGATCATGATATCCACTTCTCCTGTCACATAAGGTCTAGGCTTTTCGCAATTTTATTCATAGGTTACATTCCATACCTCTATCACCAACTGACTTCAATAAAAAATTGAACTTTATTAAACAAACTGCAGTTAACAATGGTTATGATCCATCTATAATAGACAAACTAGACTAGATTATTACAAAAGAGAGCTCAGACTCCTCCAACAATCAGCTTTTCCTCGATTTCCAATATTTCTCCCATTTATGCTTCTCTACTGTTTCATTATCCTAAATTATTCGAAAAAATCAAACAAATCCTCACTACTTCTTCTGAAAACATCAAAATTTATTTTAAAGTTAACACCCTTAATCAGAGTTTAAACAATAATAAGGACCCTATATATTACATGAATCTCAGTGGTGTATACAAACTCTCTTGTTCAGATTGCGATGCTACCTTTATTGCTAGAACTTACAGATCTTTATCTACCAGATCCTCCGAACACTCCAATAGTCCACATCTACCTTTTCACACCATTTAAAAAAGTCAACAAACAATAACTTCCTGGGGTATCCAATTAATTCAACATATACAAAAAGAAACATATTACGTTTAGATATGTACAAAGACTTAGAGATCATTAAAGAGATGAAGAACAATCTCAACTGTGTCAACAGACAGACTTCTCTTAATCATAACTTTGTTCCTGTCTATTGACAGGTGTTTTCTTAATATGCATACTTTCTGAATTTTTACTGGATAACCTCCCATATATTCTTTTGCTTATATACTTACTCATCAATAACTTCATTATTTCCTTCTATTTTCATCATACTCGTGTACCTCATCAATTTCAATTAATTTAACCAGCTCATATTAACCTCAACTGTATTCTCATCCAATCTTTTTCTCGTGCTATTACACCAACCCTCTTCTTCATCTTAATCTCTTGAATACCAAATCTAATACATTTCTGTACTACTTCATTATCAATTTTTCCTTTATTCCCATACTACCATTATTATTACTTCATACTTAAATGAAACATTAACTCATCCAGTCTTTCATTAATGATCTTCTTATTCTTCGTCTCTATTTCTAGAAGAGTTTATCTCATATTTTGAATATTTAATTGCCTTTATACTTCTCATTAATTTTCTCAAGACATAACATTACACCAAATAACATCGTTTATTAAGAAATAAAGGCTTTAGAAAAATTTATAATCTAATACGTACTGTGTTTAAATTATTTATAGTATGTATTACTCTTACATACTTCATTAACAACATCGCTTCATTGTTTCTTCTTTGTATAGGTGTCAATAATAATAGATTAAAAAAAAATTATTTGCTAATTGAGGCACTTTTTTCTTTATTTTAGTATTTTACTTTTGCTTTTTATAATAATTATCTGTTCACATGGACTTTATTGTTATTTATATTAATAACATATCCTAACATAGTTGTTTACCAAAAAAAAAAAAAAAAAAAAAAAAAAAAAAAAAAAAAAAAAAAAAAAAAAAAAAAAAAGTTAGTCAGATGGACATATGAATATGATACATACATCATTGAAAAGAAGAGGGGACGCGAATATGGTGAGATAGAAAAACCACTTATTGGTCTGATTGGAGCATGTGATGTATTAATTGAAAGGTGACGTTATAGAGAATATATTAAGATATCTGATGATGACTATCAAAAGGGCACTACAGAGTATCTTCATTATTAATGAAGAACATACGAGATATCATAGGGCACTATGGATAAAAATAGATTTACTATAGGACAAATTTTGATTTATTGATTAAAAGAACACCTCTGACTGAGCACAAAATAAACAACTAATCGAATACATGTAGCATAACAAATAAAAAGGTGGGATGTAACGAGTATATTAGTGGAAAAAACAAACAAGGCAACTACCAAAAGGTCACTACACAGCATCTTCGTTATAAATGAACGCCTAGCGACATACAAGATATCATAGAGCACTATGGATAAAAATAGAGTTACAATAAGACAAATTTTGATTTATTGACTGAAATAAGGCCTCTGGCTAAGTACAAAATAAATAACTGATCGAATTCTAATATGCCACATAGCAAATTAAAGGGGAGTAGGTATATAATGAATATATTAAGATAGAAAAAACAAACAAGGCGATTACTAAAAGGGCACTACACAGTATCTTCATTATTAATGAACAGATAGCGACATACGAGATCGCATAGGGGATTATGGATAAAAACAGATTTACTATAAGACAAATTTTGATTTATGACTTAAAGAATGCCTCTGGTTGAGTACAAAATAAACAACTGATTGAATCCTAACATGCTACATGACATAGCAGGTCTCAACGAATAGAAACCATTAAATGAGAATAATCATATAAATAAATAAATAAAATAAATATATAAATATTGTTGTAAATGAAGATTCAGTGAATTCAGTGATTAACTTTCAGAGTGACTCCATTAGTCATATTGAAGATTATTCAATGTTTATAAATAACTTATTTATAAAAAATCTCTTGGTTATAGCAAACAACTGATCTGCCTCCCAAATAAAACCTAGACGAAGATCTTGGGTACTTGCAATTCAAAAAGAAATGGAGAGACCAAATCCGAAGGACTAGGTACTAGAAAATCCCCGTGTGAAGGCGGGCCACTCAAGTAGAATACCTTCACGGCTTCTCCTGCTTGTCGTAAAAGGCGACTGAATGGAGCAGCTGTCCGCTGTCCACTACCCAAATTGCTAACCTGTCCCTGTGTCATACGAGCCCCACCCCTACCCATCATACATGTCCTCATACCCAAACCTATACCCGAGGAGAAAACCTCCACTAATACAAAAACCAGTGGAAAAAACCACTGAGAACAAATGGACATGCATAGAACAGGTGGCTATGCATCATTCTAATATATCGCCACCCTAACCTCAAGGTGTAACACCATCGTGCCGAAGGGGTGCATGGCAAAAGGGGAAAAGAGGGTCACAAGCGATGCCCTAAGGAGGAGGCGAACCGAAGAGGATTATATATAGCCTTGGCGGAGTATGGGCGCACTGCCCCGCTGGACCGAAGAATCGACCTAACTCGTGGGAAGAAAAATGGAAAAATACCTAATAAAAAAGAAGGTAAGGATAGGGGTAGGAGAGTCTATGGAGGATATAGGCGAAGAGAGGCTGGCGACATTAGCGGAAGAGGAGGAAAAGGACAGCCGGAGGGAGAAAAATGATGAGCAAAAGGAGCAGAAAGAAGGAGAAAACGAGGACATAGGTGAAACAGTGGAGGAGAATGGCAGTGAAAACGAAACGGGAGTTAGTAATGACGAGAGTGAATGGACGACCAACACTAACAGAAAAAAGAAAAGGAAATCGCACGGAGAGAAAGGCATAGGAGATGGTGGAAACAAAAATGAAAGTAAGATAGATTTAAATAGAAGTAAAACAGAGAAAGGAATGTCAAGAATGAAGGGATGCATCGACGAGTTAGTAAACCTAACAAAGGCGGTGGCAAATACAAAGAATGAGATAAAAAAGGGAGCCGTAAAGGTACAGCAGATTTGGTGCGAAATGGAAAAAACATTGGAGAGCTAATGTATAGTGCTACAGAGGATATTGACAAAAGGGAAGTCATAAGAAAATGTGTAACAACAATAGGGATGCAAACAAAAATAACTGTAGCAACAACTACGAGGTGCGTAGGGACCCAGGTAGAAGTAAATTGGGAAGAGAACCCAGAATTACAAAGAAAATGGATTGAAGAACTGTATAAGAAAATG